GTCACATGTGACAATGATTATAAATGAACCATCATTAAAAAGTTTAAAATAATTTCAAAATTAGCATTGCGTTTATTTCAACAACAGTTCGTATATAACTATAATTAAAGAACACTGTCTTTTACCTATTTTTTAGTAGTGATTATTTAAGTTTCGATATGAATATCTCAATATTCGAAGAAATTATCACTATTTTTAAGAAATCAACTATAACTTCTCTCACCACATGATTACAATGTTACACAATAACCAATTATTAGATAGTACAATTATTATCCAAATTGTCAGAGATTGATTTCTTTCCTGTATGGGTCAATACTAAATCAAATAATACCCTATGCCTAATGAACATAGTCAAAATCCATAAGATTCATTGGTACAGGCCACTCCGTCATGGCTCGAATTTTCTCAAAATCAAGACCCACACCATTCATGGACACTATATGGCCCAAGTATTCAATGGATGGTGTGAGAAAAATGCATTTGGACTTTTTCAGATAGAACTGATTAGTCATCAAACAATCAAACACAATCTTTAAGTGAAGAACATGATCATCTAAGGATTTGTTGTATATTAAAATGTCTTCAAAGAGCACAATAGCAAATCGCCGTAAATATGGTTAAAGCAACATGTTCATGGTGGCTTGGAATGTAACGGGCATTGCATAAGCCAAAAGGCATAACGAGAAACGTATAATGTCCGTCGTGCATCTGAAAGAAGTTTTGTGTACATCTTCAGCATGCATTCTGATCTGGTGATACCCAGACCTTAAATCACATTTGCTGAACCATTATGTCCCATGCAATTCATCGATCAACTCTTTAATTGATGACATGGGAAAATGATCCTTACTTGTGATAACATTTAGTGCGTGGTAGTCGACACAAAATCTTTAACTTCTGTCTTTCTTTCAAACCAACAAAATAGGTGAAGAGAAAACACTATTGCTACATTGAATCACACCTGAATCCAAATTAATTTTTCCATCTCTTGCTTTTAGAAATATGGATACCTGTAGGGTCTCACATTTACAAGATTAGAGCCTTGGAGCAATGGTATTTGATGGTCTATTGGTCATTGAGGGGGAAGTGTTTTAGGTGTGTCAAAAAGGGTGCTGACAGATCCCAAAAGGTTGGCGATGAGGTCTGGGTAAGTTATTGGGTCAGAGGATTGTGGGGCTAGTGGTAAAACTTGAAGATGAAAGATTTCTGCTATGGATTAGGTTGTAGCCATATGTTTGAATTGTGTTGTTGCCTCTAAAGGATTGGACTTAGTATGCCCTTTTAATTGTACCACCTTGCCATCTTTCATGAGTTTAATGGTCAAAGAATCATAATTTGTTAACACTGGCCCAAGAGATTTCAACCACTAGATTCCCAAAACTAAGTCAGTCCCATTTAGAGGTAAAGCAAATAGGTTTACCTGAAATTTATGTGAATCAATTTTAATCCCTACATTCGTTCAGTAGGAGTCACATTTGATCTCTTCACCATTTCCTACCATCACTGAGAAGCATTGGGTTGCTTGCACTTGTAGGCCCAAAAATTTTGCAACTCTACCTGACACAAAGTTGTGGGTACTTCCACTGTCCACAAGAATGACTGCTAGACTTTTGCCAATCACACGTTGGACCCTAAGTGTTTGAGGGGTGGTGTGGCCTATTAACGAATGAATACCAATTTGGGCATCTGGTGGGTCATGAGAAAGTTCTGTATCAAATCTTGAATGCACATCTTGCTCAAAACAGTTTAACAACTTGGTGAGTTCATCACCAACAAGCAGAAATTCAAGCGCTACGATTAAAATATGAAATCTCTTTTGGCAGCGCTACCCTTGTGTAAATCGTTCATCACAGTAATAACAAAGTCCCTTTTTCCATTTGAGCTTGTAGATCTGTAGAGGTAAGCTTTCATATTTGAGAATCGGTAAGGGTTGACAACAACCCCTTTGTGTTTGTGGGTGTGATTAATGGTCCTACCACTCTTGAAGTTGTCGAAGATGTGGCTTTGAAGGGAGTTGTGGTCATTGTAGCAATATACCCAGATTTAGGTTTTGTCGCAAAAATATTTTCTTCCTATAACTTTGCAAGGCTGATGACTTCCACAAGAAAGTTTGACCAGAAAGAAATAACTTTGTGTTGAATCTTTGGCTTGAGCTCGAAATTAAAACAACTCAAATAGGAAGGTGTCGATAAACCATGAACACGATTAGTAAGATTCTTGAATTGAGTTTGATATTCTCGAACAAAATTGGTTTGACTCAATTTGAAAAGAACGCCTTGCAGATCATCAAAATCTGAAGGTGCAAATCGCAATTCCATAAATATGAGAAATACATGCCAAGATGAGAGTTTGGTCATTGGTACCAACTTGGAGCTTCTCCTTCTATACAGAATGAGGCGATTTGTAGTAGTTGTTCATCCGTGGTTCGATGATAATAAAAAAAATTGATTTACTTTAAATATCCAACCCAAGGGGTCCTTACCCTTAAATCTAGGAATGTCCAGTTTGATTGTAGTGGGTAACTGTAATGGATTGTCTATTTGAAGTTTTGGCTTAACAATTTTACTTTTCAAAGCATCAAGTTTGGTGAATAAGGCTTTAATAGTAGAAATAAAAATTTCCATTGTGGCAGCACAAAACTGTCATACTCTCAATGAAAGCACCAAATGATAGAGTCAGAAAAGAGGAGAAGGTTAGGAGGAAAAAACCGAGAGAAAACAAAGAAAGGATGGATGAATTATTTTCTTTATGCTTTCTTTTAGTCCCAAAACTAAGACATAAATAATCTGTTACGAAAAATAACAGACTTGCAAGAAAAAAATACAAATGACATGATCCCAAGATATCTAATATAGCATAATCTATTTCCTTTCGGATTTGTGTTTAAGATCATTGACCACATAATCTTTATCCAATTGAGCTACTTTCCTTTCATTTTGGGCTTCACATGCTCACATTATTGGTCTTTTAATTCCTCATTTAAGTTTCAACCTATTTCAATTTTTTCCTCTTGTCTTTGGGCCACATCAATAACTAATTTAGTTTTCTCACATCTAACATAAAAAGTTATAACACAAAGTGGAAAATGGTCAAGAAAAAGTGACTTTGGAACATTATCCTCCCGCTAAAGATTTAGTGGTAATGAAATATATTTTTTTAATTATAATTCATTTTATAAATAATGTTAAGAGAAAAATTATTTAATTATTTTATTAATTTATTTATTTTCGTAGTATGATTTATATGCAATTTTTTCCTTATTTTTTATATTTTATATTTTTTCATTTTTTGTCTATCTTATATATTTTTTTCTCTTCTTTTCTATTTATTTCTTTACTTAAATTATTATATTAAAATTTAATAATAATATGTTAAAATAAATATTTCAAAATCAACATCAAAACTAAAAAAATATCAACTAATTATTTAAAATTATGATAATAATAAATAATTTTATTTATTACAACAATAAAATAATTTTATTTATGATAATATAAATAATTAATTTAAAATTATTTTATTATAATAAATAATTACTCATTTCATTAAAAAATATAAAATATTTATAAGTTAAATTATTTTTTACTTAATAATTTAATGTAATTATAACGAGGTTAAGTTATGATAATTAGTTAGATTATATAATTTTAAACAATATTTATTAAAAAATTATTTAAAATAAATATTTATTTTTTTAATAATTATTTCAAATTTATTATATAATATTTTTAAATAGAATATATTAAATTATATTATTTATAAATCTTTTAAATATTTTTATTTTTTTAAAATAATAAAAGATCCATTTTATCAAATTTTAATATATTACTTTTAACTAAAAAAAATAGAGTGATAGAAAAACAAAAGAATGAGAAAAAAAAAGGAAAATAGAGCCTAAACTAACAGAAGAAGAATGAAAAATAAACTAAGAGAGAAAAATAAGAAAATAAATAATAATAATAATTTATATTATATTAGAAAATTTTAATTTAATTCATTAAATTTTATGTATGGATAATAAACAATTTTAATTAGATAAATAAATTTTAAAAATATTTTTTCTCCAAAAACTTTCATACACTATAATCTATATACACAATTATCTAAAAAAAAAAGAAACATACATGTGTTATATAATACAAATAATGGAAACATTCCTGTGTTTTTTTTAAATAAAATTAAAAACAGATAATGAAGAGAAAATAATAATAAATTAATTATGAACTGTAATTGGAATATGCATATATTTTTCTGAAAGAAATAAAAAATATATATGTATTATATAATATTTATTTTTTCCTAATTATTTTTAATAAAAATAAATTAATGATATATCATTATTAATAAGTTATTAAAATATAAAAATAATAATAAGAAACAATAGTATATTCTCCTATAAATATACAATTCTTTTGATTTTTTATTTCAGTTTGGGATAAGAAAGTTTTTCTCTTGTTAATCCATTTCAAAAAATAACAACCAAATTTTAATTCGTTAGTCTAAGTCAAAAAAGAAATATGATAAAACGTTAATTTGTTTTTAAAAATATTTATATATTAAAATAAAAATAAAAAATTATAATTAAAAATATTAATTTTTATTATATTATTAAAATATAAAATATATTATAAAATTATAATTTAAATTATAAATATTATTCAATTAAATTTAAATTAAATATAATTATTTTTTTTAAATACTAATATATAATTTTTTAGTTTATTTAATAAAAATATTAATTAGTAAATTAAAACTTAAAAGTTATTTTTATAATTAAAAATAATATATATATATATATATATATATATATATATATATTTTAAAATTTATATAAAAAAAGTTTCACCGTCTTGGCAAGCCGAGAGTTCTGTAGGCCGTTCTATCTAATGGCGGCTCAACACGGGGTTGTCATCCCTATTCTCAGTTTTACTTCTCTCCCGTATTCGAAATTTGCGGCACCGAGCTATCCATGAAAGCTTTCCATCTCTGCTGAATCAATGGCTTCTTCCGATATTAATTGGGACAGGTTACCTCACTTTCTCCATCTCTTGCAACTTTGCTCTTTTGTTAGTTATGTTCGAGTGTGGATTGCAACAACTGCATAAAAAAATTAAAGATATTGAACTGAAATTGAATTCAAGAAATGTACATTATATTAAGTAATTATTACATATTCAGAGCTTAAACCAAAAAAATAAAGCTTTTTCATCCGTCTTTTCAGTTTGAGTTAGGTATAGTATCCGTGCTAATATAATCTAAGTCTTGATTGAAAGCCATAGTATTTCTATCTGCTTTCTTTGTGTTAGCTATTCTATTTGAGTTAGTCAATGTGGCGTTGAAACTGCATTCAATTGATCCATACCAGCTGGTAGACCAGGATCGCAGGGAATTAGTTATCGGCTTTTCTTCTTTTACTTGATGTTTTCCTTTGTGATCTCCAAGTTTGAAGCAAAACTGGTCCTGAAAATATTAGAAATCATTTTAGGTACACTAAAATAATTTGTTGTGACTAGATATATTGGATTGATAGGTTAGGAATATGTTTTATGGATAATGAATTTTATATCTTGAAGCTATATATATATATATATGTATGTATGTATGTATGTATGTTAAGTTCTAGATAAAACGTTGTTCAATTATGTCTTGAAGCTATATATATGTTAAGTCCTACTTATTTTTGTAGGCTAGATAAAACGAAATTCTATGTGGTGGGAGCAGGACTATTTACAGGTGTTACGGTAGCACTATATCCAGTTTCTGTTGTGAAGACTAGGCTGCAGGTTGCTTCAAACGATACTTTGGAGAGAAGTGCATTATCGGTTGTGAAAGGATTACTTAAAACGGATGGCATCCGAGGTTTGTATAAAGGGTTTGTTACCGTTATCACTGGTACAATTCCTACCAGAATCATATTTCTCACTGCCTTGGAGACGACAAAGATGGCTTCCCTCAGGATGCTGGAGCCATTTAGACTATCTGAAACTTCTCAAGCTGCCATATCAAATGGAGTTGCAGGCATGACATCTTCGCTTTTGGCACAAGCTGTGTTTGTTCCAATTGATGTGGTATGATAATCTAACTAAGCAACTCATGTACATAAGTGCCTGTAGTTTTGTACTTAAAAAATATATGCTATTCGACTCACTGATGCCTGTATATGATGCTTATGCATTCATATATTGTGGTACATTCAAATACATCTGTTGCATCTGTTGTATCTATGATGCTTATGCATTCATATATTGTGGTACATTCATATTTTGACAGTGCAAGCTGGCCAACAATCTTTTAAGATTGCTTTTAACATTGCCAAATATTGAAACTTGAATATATACACTGGTGTACTTATCTTTGCATATGATTTGATGAGTTGTCTTAGATACCCTTTTAAACTTAAACACTATTTTGTACACCTTTTTAATAGTCAAACTCCAACTTGGTTAGTTCTATAAACCTCATGTATCAGAAATATTTTAAGGTTTGAAAGAAAGGTTTTGTTGTAATGTTTTTATATGTATACTTACGCTGTTTTATTATTTATGCATAGTGCTTCTGTTAGAGGGTGCTAAAGAGTTGTTTTATTATTCATATATTATACTTCTTTTAACTGGTGCTAATGAGATGTTTAAATAAACAAGAAAAAATATTTTTATTATGTCTTCTTTTCTTTTCCTGTTAATTAAACATTTTTGTTATTGAATGTAACAACCATAAGGCTAAGGAGGGGAACCATCCCTCAAAAGCTAGCTCAAGAGGTTGGAGAACCTCTTACCTTATAAGGCCTCCCGGTAAGGAGACTTCCCGATGTGGTACTTGTTACAATACCACCCGTTCGAAAGTCGGCCCCGTTCGATTCACTCGCCTTCTTACCGGTCGAACCCTCCGTGGGTAGCCCTTCTCAGTTAGCGACTCTTAATGAAAGCACCAATGTAACAACCATAAGGCTAAGGAGGGGAACCATCCCTCAAAAGCTAGCTCAAGAGGTTGGAGAACCTCTTACCTTATAAGGCCTCCCTGGTAAAGAGACCTCCCTGATGTGGGACTTGTTACATTGAAATATAGATAAATGAATCCTTAATAGAATATCTAGAAAATATTTCATAATATCATTAAGTCATTGATATATGTATAATATTGTAGAGTATCGTGGAGGCGGTTTCCATATTTCGTTATCTACTTAGGTAGTTAGGCTGGAACCTAATATTAGTTTGGTGTTTTGTATCTTTTATCACATCATAATACTGCGTATCAATTTACCTAAATAGTAGTATAATTGTACCAATGCTCATATGCTAACTGCATTTTCGTTGAATGATATTAAGGTTAGCCAAAAGTTGATGGTGCAAGGATATTCAGGCCATACCCAATATAGGGGGGGTTTAGATGTTGCTCGTAAGGTGTTAAGGTCTGATGGCATTAGGGGATTATATAGAGGATTTGGTCTATCTGTCATGACTTATGTACCATCTAGTGCTGTCTGGTGGGCAAGTTATGGTTCAAGCAAAAATTACTTATGGAGGTGAGACTTGGTAATGCTTGTTATGGTGTCTTAAGCTATTTCATTCTCATATTACCTTTCCTTTATATTATGTTTTTTATCGAATGGTTAAAAAAACTGAAAATCTATAGAAATTCGTATATTTTAACCTGTAATTATTTTTTTCTTTTTGATGTTCAACCAACACCAGTAGGTTAAATATAGGTGTATTGAAAGAGCTTGTAAATCTTTGCAATCTATTTATCAGTTGTTCAAAGTATCTGATTTAAGGATATCATTATCACTGACTGCTTTGGCAGATTCTTTGGGGATAAGTCCAGTGAGGAAGGTACTCCTAGTCTACCAAAGATTATATTAGTTCAGGGTACTGGAGGGATCATTGCTGGTGCTACTGCATCCTGCATTACAACGCCATTGGATACTATCAAGACACGGTTACAGGTATTCATATCCTTGTTGAACACATTTCTTTCAGTTGCACAAATTCTCTGTACCATACAGGAATTGTATTGGTACAAATCCTATCTACAATTGAATTAATTATCATATGAGAAAATAAATCCCACAAATAAAGGAATTGTATAATACAGGGCGAAATAAAATTAAAAATAGACTCATTAATTATATTTTTTTATCCTAAAAGCTTGGAGGAGTTTTTTTTTTTTTTAAATTTTACTTATACTTTTATATTTTCAATAGGTTTTAGTCATTAATATGAATGATTCACTGTTTCAACTGTTTCTGGGCACATCCATGATTGAACTTTATTTGCAGAATCTCAATCATATTTATTTGGCTGAATAGTCTTTTATATTTTTTCTAGTTAAATCCTTAAATGTTAATAAATTAGTAAAATGTTCCTATAAGTAATTTTTATTTTTCATATTCGTTCTTCGATTTAAATAGGTTCCTTCATATTATTATCAAAATGTAATTTAGTCTTTATATATGAATTACAATGCATTTTAATAATAACATATAAAGATTAAATTGCATTTTAACGATAATGTGTATGGACCCACCTGAATTGAAAGATGAATGTGAAAGATAATATTTATTTTTAGGGACTTTATTTTAATATATTTAAATACTAGGACTAAATTGAAACCTTTATACACTTTCAGGATCAAATTGACCATTTTAGCTACGTATTTATTTTTGTGACTGCCTACTAAATTTTCCTCACTCAACAATGGCTTGCACTACAGGTGACTGGACTTGAAAAGAGAATCTCTGTAAAACAAGTTGTTAAAGATTTGATTATTGAAGATGGTTGGAAAGGTTTATATAGAGGATTAGGTCCAAGATTTTTCAGCATGTCAGCGTGGGGTACTTCAATGATTCTGGCTTATGAATATCTGAGTGAGTCTTGCCCCTCTGTTTTCATCCGGTGTTTACGATCCTGTTTGTTTATTCTGGTTTGGTGTATATTTAAATATTGAAATTAGCCTTTTAATTTTTATTAACTCTAATGATCCTTGTTATAGTGATTTATTGATTTTATATTGCCACCATCTTAGTTCTGAATAATTGTCACGCTGAGTAGTTAGTGCTGCTGGTAAAATTTAGTGGTACTGCATATGATATTATGTAATGCATTATCAATTAAACATTTACATTTAAAGTTATATGCATCACGAATAAGAATGATTCAGCTTTACATTTAGTCTATCTCCTACCTTTTTATGGTGAACGGTAGGTAGGGTGCAAGTAATTAATTGGCTTACTGAGATTAACTTTTACCAGAAAGATATCATGTGAAGTTTTCACAAGAGATGGTCATTTTCTTAAGTCCTATTTTTAAGAATCCAAAACCTTTGAGATTTTAGTTTTCTTTGTGATTAATTATATTTTGTCAAACCTTGGACCTTTATTTTAAATTTATGGACACTACCCAGTGAAGAATTATGCAAATCAAAATGCATGTATAATAGACGTGCCAATTATATTATATACTTTAGCTTTTTATTTGTCCTCTCACTTAGGATTGAAGCTATGTATAATTAATTAGTTTTGCCCAAAAAAGGGGATTTTAATAATCTATATTTTTCTTTTTCTTCTTGTCAGAATTTTGAACTTGCTAATGTCAGTTTTTTTTTTTCACACAGGATTTATGGTTCCATTCATTGCATATTTTTTTACCCATTTTGAATATATTTTTTAATACCGTAAGACTTGTTATTTGGCTTCTTTCATGATTTTGTCTGTTAAGAGAGTCAGGATCATTTTTAAACTTTTTGTATCATAACACCTATTCTATATTTAAATATTTTAGCTCATTTTGTTATTATTTCAATGTTTCTTCACTCAGAGCGCGTATGTGCAAAAGATGAACAGGTGTAAACTGATCTAGTTTGGAATTGTCCCAATCTACTTTGCTGGACATTACTGGCACTATCACAATGGCAATTGAGCACCAGCCTTGTCACTGGAGAAAACTAGGTACATATGTACCAGATTTGCTGCTTAAAAGGTTTTAAACTTTAAGCAGACAGTTGAGCTAATTGATTGTTTAAGGAAATAATCATTAGATACATAAACATGGAAATTTTCGTACTAGATGTCTCTTTCATTCTTTTCGAAGTCTTGGATTAGGTCTATTCTTTGCCAACATTGTTATTGATAATGTACAATAGGAGGAAAATGGTTACAATCAGAGCTTTTTCTTTCCCTGCTGGTTTGTCTCACTCCGTCACTGTTTTTTCTTTATTGATTTTCCAATATTTTATTTTCACCCCATCACTGTAAAAGATCATTTTGATAGGAGTAAAATTGGAACCTTCGAAGTGTTTAAGATAATATTTTTGTTTTCTTATTAAAATAGTCAAAGCCTAATCAAATTTTGAGATTGTATATTTAATTAATCACGAATAGCTTAATAATTGCACCTAATAAAATTGAAAATTCAAGTCTTTTTTTTTTTTAAGTATTCAAAGAAACGAAGGACAATGTACCAAAAATTAAAGGAAAAAATAACAGGAAATGAATATGATTAGAACATGAATGAAAACAAACTATTTTTAACTTTTACAACCTCTGGCCCGTGGATTGAGTGAGGGTAATGAACTTTACAATGCCCTCAATCCAAAACTCAGAATGCAATGATGTATAAATGGAAACGCAAGGTATATAAGGATAATGATGTATAGACAAAACCTGTCAAAATGACTCCTGCCAATCTAATCAAGGATACCACAAAATCTCACGTAAGAATTACTTAAAACACTAGAGAAAATGGAAAATGCACTAATAATGATAGCAGTTACCTTGTTACAACACAAAAGACAATTCATCCTCAGTTTTCTTCAATCGGACAATAGTTGAAATCTTGCTTGCCAAGAACCACTTGCAACTTATTCATTGTTTTCAACTTCAAACTAAGTGAAACATTTTTTTTATCCTTATAAATAAGATATATTTGTTTAGTCTAAAAAATTTCTTACTTTTGATGTCTCATATAAATAAATATATCATTTGCTGTCCGTTTTCCTTTGCTAAAATAGAAACCAAAAGGGCAGGATATTTATTGAAGAACGTCGAGAAACTTTTTTTTTTTTTTTGAAAGATTAAAATCAAACACTTATTGAATATACCAAAAGCATATTTAAACTTTTTAAAATATAGGCATAATCAAGTATGCCATTAAATTGTAGGGTAAATTTGGATTAAACAACACTTGTTCAATAAATTTTTATCAAGTAAGAAGTTATTCGTAAGCATCACAAAAACTTGTAGAAATAAACTTAGAAACTATCTTTTCTTGCACTTCTAAAGCAACCGAAATAAGCTAAACGTAACTTCAGTAATCTCTTCCAAATGTCCTTAAATTTTATAACATAGCTCAGAATAACACTCAACGTATCTCTCAATATAAAGATGTTTTTTGGGTTTTGTAAGAAGTCCCGTGTGCTTGAAAGTGAAGCTAATACATAATAATAAACTTATGTCATGGTCCGCAGAACAGACCAGGATAAAAAATCAATGAACTACACTTCAAAAGTTAGATAAATGATAATAAACCTCCCATAGGCAAACGAAATAAAAATACAACTTATCAAAATTTGTATTCAACACTCAACACAATTTTTCTGACTCTGAATTTCAATAGGAAACTGACAAACAATCATTCATTTTTGAAACTGGGCGTGATCGATTATGCTTTCATCATTTTTGTTGTCATCCTTATCACGATCTTCATTGCCAGTGTCACCATCATCATTGTCACAATCTTCATTCTCATTGTCATTATCATCGGCACAATTTTCATTGTCACCGTTATCATCTTCATCTTCATCTTCACAAACTTCACCCTCACTATCATCTTCACAAATTTCACCATCATCATGCTCCACCTTAACACTATTCAGTTTGGCATACTCTTCAAGTGATGCATTTGGAAACAGCTCTCCAACTTTATTACCTTTAGTATCTGTTGGGGTACTAGTTGAATTCTTAGATTTGCCTTTGTTCATCTAATGAGTAGAAAGTAGAATCATCATTAACATAGTTTGGGGTACATGACAGAAAGACAAACATGGTATAAAAAGTTCAACTACTGTCTTTGGCCTTTGCCATAAATAAATAATGAATCGCCACTTCAAAATACCAATATAAACTCAATAAATTATGTGATTACATATTATACGCAACAATTTAGAGAATGACATATGCATCATCAGCTGGTACTACAACAAATTTCATAAACTGGCATTGTTTAACAAACTAAACCTGATAAAATGATTCTTAAATGAAATGTTATATAACAAGTACAATCAATGGTCATATTTTGTTTCAAATGTTGTCAGAGGTAAATTGATTAGATTAAAAGTATTAGGGATAAGAAGGGAGAAGCATAATATGCAGTGAAAAAATTGTGGCCTTAGTTTTGGTATCTTACAGCACGCAATAGGCTTCTCCTTTCTCTCTCCCGAGAGTTCTTAATGGCCTGCAACAAAAATACCAGTATTGTTATGAGTTTCTGCTTTGCATAAAAGAACAAGTCTAGAAAGAAGGGAAGGACAGAGAAAAGAAACCTCCTCAAGCATCTTTTGCTCAGCCTCAACTTCTGACAAATCCCTACAAGAAACAAAATCACATATCAATGCAGATTCATCAATTCCTTCCATGAGCGTTGGGGTCAGCAGGAGCTAACTGATGTCCATTTTGCATAAAACTTATGTTCAAGGTTTGAAATTGCAATGATGATTACATTGCAGAAAATTGAAGACAGATGCTGACAATAATACGGCTACAATTGCAGTCACTTTGTGCTCGAAAACCTTGATATTGTGAGCTAAAATGTTTTCAAAACCTTGCTTACGTTGTTACAAATACAAAAAACAGAAACTGAATCCTCCATCAAATGAGAGAAAGACAACCTTCCAACTATTTGGCTCCTACTGCAACAGCACTTTGCGCATACACCATGCTCCTTCGCACATCCTACACCAACAAGAAAACGAGTGAGCAAGCAAACACACATTTTCAGTTCTCAACTAATTTCATCAGTGTATTATTTCATACACTCTCAGCATTTTTCACAAACACCACGTGTTCGCTTACAAGTCCCAACCAATTTAACATTCACCTTTTCCTCTTTCCACACCCACATTCCAAAAATCCATTATTTTTTCGTCAACACACCGATTTCAAAAGCATCCACTCGCCAACCCACCCCACCAAAAACAAAGGGTGAAATTATTCAATTGTTATACTAACCAGTACACAAGTTATGATAGGCTTGGCGAACATTACGCTTGGAACATCTTTGGCTGCAACCCAGTTAACTAATTAATCAACGAGAAGCTAAAAGAAAACAATCTAATCTAATACATGAAAAAAAAATAAAACAATTTTTTAAAAGGGTAAAGAAAAAAAAGTAGATAGATAATACTACCATTTGGCAGGTTGAAGAAGAGGCTTGTACTTTCCATAACGACGTTTCCACTCGATTTGTTCTTTGCAACGGGGACACACCCCTGTGATCTCAGAGAGGGGTCGGAACCTTCCTCCAACTTCCTGTGAATATAAAGAGTAATAACATTAAAAACATATTAAAATGTTCTTCATATGATCATTGGTTTGATAGGAGTAAAGTAAGATTGAGGGTATGATTTGTGTCGCACAGTTTCGTTGATTTTGCGACCAGCGTTGGGTTTCCATGCGTACTTGTTCTGATGCTTTGGGGGTCCGCCCCTGTTGCCGCCACTCATATTTGCTTCTGCAGAATCTGTTCACAACCTGCGTCTATCAGTGAAATAAAATACCTTTCACATTCTTTATTTAATTTTATGCTTTCTTGTTTTGAAGACGTAATTCCTTGTTTATTGAGGTAACAATTTAATCATGTATGAACACTTCTCAGTACGCTCTCAAAACGGGCCCGTTTGCCCTATTTGGGCTCACCTGGTCTGTTATAACCCACCTAATAAAAAAAGATAAACTAATCTAAGCCTCTTTCTTCCTGCACCCCGCAATTTCTTTTTTCTGTAATCCGTACCATACTTATCGCAAAAGATATCACATTTTTGTGTGTCTCGAAATTGATAATCTCATCAAATATGGAATATCCGAATTAATAATTTCTATATTTCGAATAAATTGATGTAAAATTTAAAAAAAAATATTTTAACTTGTTTTTCAAATTTATAAATATAATTTGTTTTTCGATTATATATATTATAATATTATTTTCAGTCTACACAACTTTTTTTATTTTTAACTCGAGATTATTGGATCATTATTGCATCACCCTTCACTTCCTTTTTCAACTACAAGCATAAATGATTACAATCTTCACTTAATCGAGCAATTTTATAGAATTATATTAGATGTTATAAATTTTATCTTAGTAATTTTATTTATTTTTTATTTACTTTTCATGGTTGGGTGACATGGATAATTCTAAAGAGCTTTATAATTTCTCACATTTTTCTCCTCCATTTTCAGGTTATCCAAAGTTTGCACTAACATTTTTTTAAACTTCATCAGGCTCACGAGTCACGACCCACAAACAAGAAAAGAGAAAGAATGAATAATTTTTTTGTTAAAATTACTTTTCTTGATGTGATTCAATATCTATTTTCTAAAATAACTTTTCTTGCTCAATTTTTTCACTCATTGCAACACATTGAATTAAAAAGGGAGGATAACATTTTTTTTATCTCATTTCTCTCTCAAAATTTCATCATATTTATGGTAAAGGAAGAAACCAACTTGAATTTTTTTTTTTACAATTTAATGACCCACAAAAGTCAAGATAGTTTAAAATAAGAGTAGGAGGATATGTTTTTGTATAATAATTACGGTAAATATTTTTTTAATATAATTAAAATATTTTTTCTATTTTTCATGCATTTGTTTTTTATTTCTTATTATTAAAGAAATTACTGGTTTTATGTTATATAGACCTTTAAATAATATGTATCACTTTAAGTATTAAGTCAGAAAAAAAAAGAATTTTTATATTATTTAAAAAATAATAACAAAAAAACAATTTAAAATTAAGTACCAAAAAATCCTTTTGAAAAAGTGTATTCCCAGATCATAAATTCTGTATACGCATAGATATAAAAATTAAAAGGAGTTTTTAGAACGCATGATATAATTTTCAATATTATACGTCATTTATAATGCAAATTTGTGTTACTATATTAGTTTATATATTCTACTATTATAGAAATATGTTTATTCATCTTCTATTTAATGAAACAATTTCAAATGCATATTATATGAAACTCATTCAATTTCACCAAAATTAATAGATATGTACAATTATCAATAAATTCTGAACCAAAATAGGAAATATATTTATATAATAGTGAAGTAGATTCTTTTATTCTAAGATTAAGAATTGCTATTATTTTTTATTATATAATATAAACTATTTTTTAAATCATTAAATTAAAAATAGAATTATTAAAATAATTAATAAGTCCCAAACTCTTATTTTATTTTTATATTTTTTCTTTTATAGTACATTTTTTTCCTCTCTATAGAAAGAAAACACACTTATAAAATTCATTTACTTTTAAGAGTAAAAGGAAATATTTTTTAATACGATATTACTCAATTAATTAAAATTCAAAATTTTAGAAGATAATAATTTTATAATAAAAATATTTTATAATTATATATCAAAATATATTATTAATATATATATATATATATATATATTAACTTTAAGTTATTAATATATATATATATATATATATATATATATATATATATATAAATATATATTTTTTGTCACAAAAAAAATTTATATATATATATATATATATATATATATATATATATATATATATATATATATATTTGGTTACACACATTATTAACACCATATATTTGTATCCATCCATTCAAGATTCATTAAATTTTCTGCCACCTGCATTTATACATTCGGTTTCAATTTTCTCACTTTATAATTAATTTTCCCTCGCTTGCATTTATACTTTGGGTTTCATTTTTTCAGTCTGCAATTGTTTTTAAATCATATTTTCAAAAATATGTTTATAAACTTATTTTAAATATAATAATAATATAATTTACTTTATATTTAAATAAAATACAAATTTAAAATAAAAAAATTATTTAATATATTTTAAAATATTTTAAACTGAGATAAATATTTTAAAAATTATTTTAATTAGATGACATATTTTTTATGATAAATATTATAAATTTAATATATTTAATAAATAATAACTTTCAAATTTTTTTGGTATTTAATGAATTACTATACTTAATTAATTTTTACATCAAATATCTATTTTAATTCAAAATAAATAAATATAAAATACATATTTTGTTTAAAACGAATGGGATTTTAAGTAATAGTATGCGATGTGTGAATATGTGTTTGGTGAAGGCCACGTAGTTTGTTCATAATTACCAATCCCTTCTTATATGTCTTCTTTTATTGATTTATTTTTTATCACTTGCCATTATTGCAGATTAAATTTATTTATCCACTATGATATTTTTAAAAAGTAAAAATACTAACAATACGATCTAAACATGTATTTTACTATTAATTATACATTTATACTTTTGCATTTCCAATTAATTTTAACTACGATGAAAAAACACATTAAATATAAGCGCTGCTAACAAGAAAATGTAAGTAATTTAAATTAAGTGTATATTCTTTGTCTCAAATAATTTCTATACAACTAACATCTCATTTGATAAATAATACCTCATTAACAGATAACTAGTCAAACTGTTAAATACAAATTAGTTATTAACAAAGTTGATAAATATTTCATAGACATAAATGATTAAAAAGCAATTAGTCTCTACACGATAATACATAAATGGTTAAATTTACATTTAATTATGTCAAACTATTTTATAATTTCTCCTTTAAAATGCTTCTCCTTTTATAAAAATTACTTAATTTTATACTTACGTAAATTCTTGTTGATTTAAACTTTTATAATTGCAATTTCACGTGCAGGTCCTCCCACTTTTAGGAAGGAAAAGATTGATGAACAACCATTATTTTTCTAACCATGCTAGGGACAACTTCATATATATTAACAAATCCGTCCATTCACAAGTTTCGTTTTGATTAGAACTCGATATTTCTATCTCAATATACTAAATATTTTTTAAGAATAAAATCATGATAGATTAGAGCTCTAAAACGGATAATAACTGAGACATAAGAAATAGTTTTAATGATACTATCATACGGACATGAGACTATAATACTTTCATTCCTAAACCGAACATTGAAACTCACAATGAGATTAAAATTGATCCTAACGATATTATTGCAACGGATATAAGGTCGAAGACTCTCATTTCTAGATGAAACATTGACATTCACCATGGAGATGAGAACAAAGTCTTACTCCACTCACGTGTTGGCAAAATTTGGGTCATGTATATATATGATACATATTTAAATGTGTTATGGTCATTATTTATTAAGCCAAATAATAAAGTGATCTGACTAAATTAAAAGGTTTGGCTAAAGGCATATGTCATGAAAATAAAATTGTGTAGAGACCATATAGTAATTTCCAATTTGATGAGGGGCCAAATTGGAAATACTAAAACTTAAGTAATTAACCTAATTCCGGTTATCTAAAGGGTCATGGTCCCCTTCCGGGAGCACACACACGAACGTAAGTATCGGTCCGTTCCTTTCTTTCTATCCCCATCAAGAGAGAAAATCAAGAGGGAAATACAAGTGCTCTTCGGGTGGAAGACCATAAGATCAATATAGTGCTATACAAAGACATCATCGTTATGGCTAATTCGAGTACGCTTTCGCATTCAATTTACGACATGTTTATCGAGTATGAGATTATGTTTATGTTTGATTGTTAGAATCAAAATCAGGATTATTATTATTATTATTATTAATTTTCCAACAATTGGTATCGGAGTCGCCCATATTTGATTCATGTCTGTTTAATTTATAGAACCCTAATTATGAAAATTAGGATTAATTTTGTTTTAAACAATTCAAATTACCCAATTTTATGAACCCTAAGTGGAGAATAATCTCTGATTTTCGTGAACCCTAAAATTTAAATTTGGGGGTAACATCCCCAATCTGATTCCACTTGCTCGATGGAACCATGGAGGAAGCTATGGATTCTTATTCTTCTTCGTTTTTCCCTTTTGTTTCAGTTTAAGTTTCAAGTTTTACTTGAAGAAAGTTTCAAATTTCAATTTTTCTTGTATTGGGTTCTCTCGTTCTTTTTTGAATCTTTTGTTTTTATTTAATTTTATGGGTTTGGAATTGGGGGTGGTGTTTGTGGAGTTCCCAACACGAGAGAATCTTAGGTAAATGGTGAATGTTTCCACATGTGTGACTGTTCTTATTTTATTGCCTTTAGGAAAATTTGATGTTAAATTAGAGTTTGAGTGATTATCTGTTTAATTCCCTTTTAGGGTTTAGAAGCGATATGCTAAAGAGACTCGTAACTATCTCTGTTTCATCCCTAGTGTGATTTTAGGGAGATGTTCATCCTTTATGTATTGGTGGAAGATGAGGCCTTTTTTTCATCCTTTGATTTATTCAAATGAGGTGTTCATCCCTAATGAGATTCTAGGGAGGTGTTCATCCTTAGTAGAATTCTAATGAGATGATTCTCTTTTGAATTAGTTTACAAATATTAAATATTTGGTTTTGTTATATAAATAAAATATTCAATTTTTGGTAGTTTAATATTTTTTGTGAGCAAATTGAGTC